ATATTTTTCTCTGACACCCTTTATTTTCACAATTAATAAAATATTGATTAAGATAATCTAGATAGCAACAATACGTAGTAAATGAGCTTGACTCCTAACTTGATTTTTGGACAACTTATCTCAAAGAAATTAATACAGCTTGACTATTAGACAAAGAAGTAATACAATTTGGAAATTTTGGCAAAGAAACTTCATCTGTAAGTTTGGATTTGTCTACTTTTCATATATTATACAAATATATAAATGATTTAGCTTTGATACCATTTTTATTTTTCAATTATTTTCTATTCAAAAAATAAGGGGTCTGAAGAATCAATTGACAAAAGTTCCTCTTAAAGGAACAAGTGCTAGTGAATAGAGAACACATAAAGAAGAGCAAATCTCTACTTCATCTGTCAATGTTTAAATAAGTCCTAAAAATCTAAACTCTTTATTCAAGAGTAAAGGTGCAAATAATGATTCTAACTTTGCACTTTTTTCTATTTAAATATGTTAATTTTATCAGTTTCTAAATAAGGATGTCAACTTTCAATTTTTTTTCTAAAAAAGGATGTTAACTTTATCAGTTTCTAAATAAGGATGTCAACTTTCAACATTTTCTATTTAAGGATTAATTGAATAGTGATGTTGACATGGCTAACATATTCTTTAGGTTAAATACCTGAATTGGTCCCTTAACTTTTATTTTTGAACCAATTCATCCTTGAACTTCAGAAAGTACCAAAAACGCCCTTCAACTTCAATTTTCAATTAATAAAATTATTTCCTAATTCATGGAAGAATTAATTAAATTTTATTTAATTTTATTAAATGGTAGGTGGGACTAATTAAATGGGAAAATATATTAATTGTTTTAAATTTTAAATATAAATAAAATAAAATTAAGAATTAAAGTAATTTGTAAATTATTTAAAATTTAAAAAATCCACATAATCATCTTTTACATGATGGATTTTCCACCTAATATTGAACATGTAAAATAGTCAATCACTTAGTAAAAAAATTAGCTATATCAACATTTAACTGATGGAAAGACGAAATTGAAAATTGAAGTTGAAGGACGTTTTTGGTACTTTCCGAAGTTTAAGGATGAATTGGTTCAAAAATAAAAGTTGAGGGACCAATTCAGATATTTAACTTAAAAAAATATGTTAGCGACTATTCAATTAATCCTTAAATAGAAAAAGTTGAAAGTTGATATTCTTAAATAGAAAATGTTGAAAGTTGACATCCTTATTTAGAAACTGACAAAGTTAACATCCTTATTTAGAAAAAAAATTGAAAGTTAACATCCTTATTTAGAAAAAAATTGAAAGTTGACATCCTTATTTAGAAATTGACAAAATTAACATCTTTAAATAAAAAAAAGTGCAAAGTTGGAATCCTTATTTGTACATTTACTCCTTTATTCAACGTACTACATTCAATCACCTTTAAAAATAAAGAAACAAAAAAAAAGTTTATGAATGCTTGGCACAAGAACATCAAAATCATATATATAAACTTGAATACATGTGTGTGTGATATTGGTTTATAGTATATAAATAATAATTTTTAAATTTATTAATAAAATAAAATAAAATAACTTCATAAAAGTTACATATTAGGAAAAAAATTTTAAAATTATTGTTTATATACCATAAAATAAGTGTCACCTAAAAAAATGTGTTGTGATAAGTAAAATGAAGGTAGTATCTGACATTACATGCATGTTTGAAATTTTTTTTTTTTATGGAAAATCTTGAAATACATTTTTTTTTATCATCTGTTTGAAATATAATTATTTGTTTAATGTCACGTTAATTGAATAAAGCAGTTTACAAAAAAAGTGTTTTGTAGCAATATAGAATTTATTTATCCATAGAAAACTTAAGGTCAAATTTTCAGACATTTTCCCAACAGGGGAAGTGAGAGAGCCATGACCAAATTTTAGATGAAGGATTGAGACGAGTGATCTGATTGGAAAGAATAATTTATTATTATTAAGATTTTAAGTTGCCCAAAAATGATAACACTTTTTTGTTCCTTTCACCCACTCAGCACTTAAATGTTGAAAGAGAGATCCAATAAAAAAAATAAAAAAACTTGAAAGAGAGATATTACCATTAGACTAGTTGGCAACATCCAATCAGTTTGCAGAATGATGAATGAACTTCTCCACTTGAGCAAATTGATCATCAGTATCTCTCGAGAAAAATTCTACTTGATCCATGATGACTTGAACGTGTTCAGTCATGACTCATGAGAAACATGTTGAAAATGTTTTGTCGTCGATAAAATCATCACCTCATTTTCCCATTTCCCTGGATCAAGTTGCTTAATTACAAGTACTTTCTTTGCTCAACTATTTTCTAGGTCCCCTTTATCATTTGTTAATCTCAATAAAGAAGGTAGAAAAGATTGAATGTAGAATGCAAGTGGAAAAAATCCCATTGTGTGAAAGCACTACTAATGGAGAGAAAAGCAGCAGCTGGGTGTCTCTGAGTGAGTCACAAATAACTGAAACATGAACATGAATCATCACACACCACAAGTTGTGATAATGGGGGAAAAAAAAAAGGTACGAACAAACACTCCGTACAAGGAGCGTACATAAGCTGCCAATACCTCATTTCACCTCAGAAAGACACCAAGTCATGTGAGTTCCAATTAAGATAAATATTAGTGCGACTTGAGGCAGTTATGCACTCGTCTCTAATCACATTCTTTTTGTTTTGTGTTCCTCATGGATGAGGATTAAACCATCCATGTGCGGAGGCTGGTCAGAGGACCAAAAAGTAGTCACTATTAGCTGATCTCAGTCAATAACTTTTCCAATGCATCAGTTGCAAGAGGAATGTACAAGCAATCTTGGCCATCGGAATGCCTTCTGGTCTTAACTAGTTCATGATCTTTGAACTCAGTCAAATGAGAGTTCAGTGTCACCTGGCTGCTCACCAGGAAGCGTTCTCGAGAAATGGTGTAGAGTTCATCAATTGGCATCCCTGAAGAATGGAAGATATAATTGAATACTGTAAGACCAAAAATGACAGAAAATGCTCCATGTTAGAATAGCTACTTGCCTTCTTCATCAGGATGGGACAGTTGATATTCTGCAAGAATTTTGAAGACACCCTGTGCATTGGGTGTTAGACTCTGTAAAACAATTGCTGCTGTTTTGGCACTCTGGGCAGTATTGCCATGTGCGAGAATCAGAGGGAAGAAGAGCCCTTCAACCTTGTATGGTGCAAACGTAGGAACATGATACCAATACCAGTTAAACTGTGTATGAACCATCTTCTTGTCCCACACTATAAACAGAACCAAGAAGCATTTATTAGTGTCAAAGGAACAAATTCATCATATAAATAATGTATTACTCCATGATGCTAAATATCTACAGTCCTCTAATGAATGAAAATGTATGAAGATCCCTAACATATATTATTCTCTGAATGCTGAATTTCCACCTATTCAGCTATTTCTTTCCTAAAATAGAGATGTCAAAGCATGACCTAAAAGCTCAGCATTATTCAGGAGTTTGATGGGGTATATTGTATATCTCTGAACAAGTCATAAACAAAAGATGCAGTTATCCTCCCTCACCTTCCTGATTCAGAATAGCATACCAACATGTACCATATTCCTTAAAGCACCCACATAAAAAGTGAAGAGGCATGCTTGGCCTAAAAATACTTGAATAATTCAGATTTTAAGGGCAAAAAATGTAATTCTAATTCCTCCACTTCTCATAAACCTTATCCCTATAGAGACTATGCTAACAAAATTTCTAAGTAGTAACATTACAGCGCAAAGCATGCAAGCTTGCACACATCTCTATGGACTGTGGGATGTTAACAACAGCAAGGGTGTACTTACACAGAGGGGCATTCACATGGTCAACAGAGGCAACAATACGAATATGGGAACAAGAAGCAAGCTGTGCAAGATACTGCTGAGTTTCAGAGTCCCTTAAACCAGGCCCATCAATGTTGTGAACAACAAGGCATATGACACAATCCTTCTCATCCACTTCTGACCCATTCAAAAATGCCAGAAGATCATCCATAGATCGGGCATTAAATGGTTGTTGATCTTTAGGCAAGGTCCCTGACGCATTTCTTCGTTTTGCTTTCAACTGATCCCATAGAAGCTCAGCCAAGGCTATCACAACCTGAATTTAGAACATCACCATATCTTAACATAAAGTAAGGTAAATAATAATGCAATGTATAAACCAAACCCACTAGAGAAATAACATTCCCGAGATTGGCATGCAGTTCATAATTGCAATACCTTAGGCCAAAACTTCCATACAATAAGCTTCATTTGAAAAATGAAAAAAGAAGCATTTGAGAAAAATACTTCAATTTTTATGTCACCTGTTTTATATTAATTGACTGAAGATATCCATTGATGACAACTACAGAATACTCAGTCAAAGCTGCTGAAGCAAAATCTTCAATCAGTGACTTCTTTGATCCAAACCCATACATCAAAAGGCCAAAACCACACCTACATTATTGGAAAAAGGGGGAAATAAAAAACTTAAACACTGAAGTTACAATAACAATAAACTGAATCTAAACTTTCTTTCACTCCATTTGCTTCAGGAGTCCATACAGTACCTAAGCTCAAAAACCCACTTAGGGTATAGGCTTTTGTAACCATTGATCAAAGCTTCAATCTCCTTCTCATGCTTGGGTTCAATATTTGCTGTAGCTGCTCTTAGTTCCTGCAAACGAAGGGATTTTTAACAATTTCCATAAACGACCAAACAAAAACTAGAAAATGAAGTTTAATCGACAAGCATGATAAGATTGAATTTGGGACTAAGTACCTGTTCATCGACAACATTGATATCGGAGATTTTCTGGGTAGATTTCTTCCTGGAACCGCCCAACTCTTTAGCCAGAAAGTAATTTCTTGAGAATCCAAACTCTTCTTCATCTACATCATTGCCAATGGTATCACACAGAGAAACATTCATACAATACCAGCACATGTATTACTTATCTTCCTGTCGTTAAAAAGAAGAAGACGAAGTGCAAGAACATTCCAAACTTGACTACTAACCCATGTATACTCGCCACCTTGCACAAAATAGATCCATGAATCCTACCACAATGAATACAGCCCAAGTTAAATTACAAAATCAGCATGATTTCATCAAGTTTACTCTGAGTTCTTATGGTATGCAACTTTCTAATAGATTGAATGTTTAACCCCATCTAAATCCTTCAATGACATTGGCTCACAACCAAGAACACTTTTAGTATCTAAATAGAAATTTCCATATTTAAGATCAGAAACAGAGGTCACAAGATCAATAGGAGCACCACTTCAACAAGATCAAATTAAAAATCTGCAAAGCTGACTGGCACTGACGAGTTTTCCATTTTCCAAAGCCGAACAGGAACAATGAACTTATCAATTTATTTACTACAAAAGACGCTAAAATAAATTAAATTAATTATAAGGAGAAAGTAGAAGCTTCTGAACTTTGCATGGCCTGTTTTCTCCCAGAAGAAGTCAAAAAAAAAGAAGAAGAAGAAGAAGAAGAAGAAGAAGAAGAAGAAGAAGAAAGAATAGAAAATGGTCCATGAAAGAATCAAATAAAAAGCTAATTTAATTATCGCAAAAATTGAAAACTAAATCAATTAACCAAGAACATTTGATTTTAGTCAAGCTAAACCAAAGGTTATAAGATGAAGAAACAACAAAACCTGGTGGCTGATTTTTCAGCTTAATTTATATGCATCATACATATATAATTATATAGGACTGTTTTGATGTGGTTTGAAACACCATTTCGACTGGACCTGAAATTTTGATGATCTTCAACAGAACTCTAACGAAATCCAGCAACTTATAAAAAGACCGCAAGAGAGGCGTCAATGCATATGAAAAAAGACCACATATACCCGAATTACATTCTAAAAAAAAAAAAAAAAACTCTTTTCTTGTTGGATTCAAAAGAAAAACTCAATCAACATAACACAACCCATTTTGATTGACAAAACACCCATTCTACTTCAAAATTGCAAGATTTCATATTAACAAAAGAAAAATAAAAACACAAGGAAATTTGATAACTCACCTATGTTGGAGGAGGGAGGATGGCTATCGGATGGAGATCTATCTAGGGTTTGAGGGAGTCTAAAAGAGAGCTCTGCTTTGAGTGGATGAAGAGGCCTGTGAGTATTTCATTCCTGCAGATTCAAAGCTGAAACCGTAAACAAAATCCCAAAAAAAGAAAACCCAGATGTGGATTCAAAAACCAAAGGAAGAGTAGCTGGCACTGGCATACGGAGAAGAACGAAGAAGGGGCGCACTGCAGAGGGTGCCGGATGAGGGAGGGTGATGGTTGGATTTGCGGTAGAGAGTTGCCGGCGAGCCTGAACGAAAACCTCGTTCTTTCACTGAAAATCGGGTCCCGACCCAAGAAAAAGAGATCCGCGTGTTTTCATAGGGAGGAAAACAACCACCCAAAAAAATTTGTATATATACTTGGAAGTTGTTTTCCGGCAAATATAGACGAAAATATTTTCCGGTCATTCTTTTCCTAAAAGCCGACCAAACATCAAAAAGTGAAAAATAATTTTTGAAAGCTATTTTTCGCAAACTAAACAGACCTAAGTTTCATTCCTCCAATTTATATGGACAAATGCATCACAATTATCAAATTAGTGATTGGAAATTGATCAAATAATGAAATTCAATAAATAGTTGTAGTAATTGACTTGAAATTTCTATGGTAGTTGTGCAATTCCTTCTCAAATGGTTCCTATGGTTTTCTATGAGATATAAAATTTGCTGGTTGTTTCAGTTGGGAGATGTTTGGTTACAGGGTTGTTAGGGTTACAACCGTTTTTAAGTTGTCCAAATTGTTAGTATAGGTATATAAATTAATATTAAAGTAAAAATTTAAGAGGTCATGATACCTGTGAACTAATTTTAATACACTCTTGAAACTAATTTAACTAGTGCATATCATGTCTTGATTTTAAATGCAATCCGATTAAGAAACCATTTAATCATAGAACCTCATAATCAAAAAGAAAATAATTATAAATCCATAATAAATTAACAATGATGAGAATCCACAAACCGTTACATAAATAAGCATCTATCATGGTGTGGACCCTTTGTTCAAGACTGCAAGAGTCCTACCAAAAATGAAACATAAGTTCATTGTCCATATCAATGATAATGAGCTATTGTGGCGAGAACCTGTTCTTCATGATGAACAAGAGTTTTGCCCAAGAATAAGATATAAACTCATTGTTCGTATTAATGATGGAGAGTTGTTGCGGTAAGAACCTCTTATCGTGATTAATGGGAGTTTTGCCCAAAAATGAGATATCAACCCATGATCCTTATCAATGACGAAGAGCTATTGCAATAAGAACCCTTCGTTTAATAAGAGTTCTGCCTAAGAATGAGATATAAGCCCATTGTCCTAATCCCATTGTTTGTATCAATCATTGGGAGCTATTGTGGTAATGGGAAGGTCCAAGCCTGAAGTTTCAAGCGAAACAACCTCCCTTGGTGTTTTCAACAGATTTATTATTGGATTTGATAAGATCATCAAGAGACATGTCTAGAAGGTCAGCCATGTCTATTGAAGTTTAGAAAATCCAAGCTTAGAGGAGAAGATAAGAGCTAGAAATCCAAGGATTTGGGACCAGTGAAAGTAGGATGGCTTAGATTTGGGAGTCTAAAGGAGGAGAAGATAGGAGCTAGGGTTTTTGTCCCACTAGCTCTAGGAAAGGGGAGATTGACAGTGAAAGAGGGTAAGGTTATAATGTTTCCTACTCAAGAAAATTTGAATATTAAACAAAACTTCAAGATACTTCTGCAAACGGTGTCGTGGTGTAGTTGGTTATCACGTCAGTCTAACACACTGAAGGTCTCCGGTTCGAGTCCGGGCGACGCCAAGTTCACATTTTTGAAAAATATATATTTCAATTTTCACAATATATTTTTGTCCTTTTCGTTTTGACAATACCATGGGTTTAGGGTTTTTCATTTTCGTATAGCAGTATTCCTGATTGGTCACTAGAAATGGCTACCAGAGCTGGAATCTTGAGACGATTGTTGTCCACTGGTTCGATTTTCTCTTCAGAGCCCGGTTCTATGGCTGTCACTGCCGCCGCAACATCTAGTACTGAACGGGCTGATGCTGCTGCTAAAAACCCGCCTTCAACGACCCTCTTTGTATCCGGTAATCCGCATTTTCTACAGCACATCTTTCTGTTTTCCTTGATGGGTTTCATTAAATTTTAAAAATTCGGGTTTCTGGGTATCTGAATTTTTTACATGGATGGGGATTCGGGATAAACATGTGTTTTTTAGTTTTCCTACTGAGACAGCCTGAGTTACTTGTATGAATGGTTTTCCGTTGTTGCTTTAGAAAAATATAAGTCTCTGTTGGGTGTATTGTTTAGATTCGGCCGTTGGTCGGTAATTCTTGTCGTGGAGCCTTGGCTTGACTATTCCTGATGATTTGCAGGGCTTAATAAAAGAACCACCTCAGAGAAACTTAATGAAGCATTCTCTAAATTTGGTGAAGTTGTTCATGGTAATAGCTGCTTTCTCTGCCTATGGTCTATCAAATTGTTGGACTTTTTTTTTTTTCACCCTGCATGGCTGCCGCAAAATTGCTAGACAGTAGACATAATTCCATGCAATTTTTGCTTCATTGTTAACTGATCTAGAATACTTTATTCTTGGCCTGTGCAAGTGACTTTGAAAGTAGAGTGATTAAAGTCGTAAGCATTTGTGAAGAATAGTTGGAGGTGAGAATAAGTTAGTTGTGTAACTTATAACATTATAATGGTTTATTTTTCAGCCAGGGTGGTGACAGATCGTGTTTCTGGATACTCAAAATGCTTTGGATTTGTGAGATATGCCACTTTAGATGATGCAGCTAAAGGAATCAAAGGAATGGATGCACAGGTTTGTTCTTATTATATGGTACTTGCCGAGAGAGACAAAAAAATATAGAATGCAGTATTTTGTTGGAACTATACCTGCTTTACAATACTTGTTGATCATTGTACATACTGTAAAGTTATTAATTAAGGTAGGTCTTAGTTACACTGTATCCAAAGGGGTTAAAAGCTTTGGATAATGATCCCTGAGAATTGTGTGAGAAATATTGATCAACTAAATTTTCTGATGACCTGATGATTGCCTGAAATTCATACTATTTCACAAGGGATCTGTTATATCTTAGATTTAGGTTGTTTCATATAATGTTTGACAACTTGCAGTTCGATGCTCATTCACATTTGATGATATAATACTCTCACTTGTCTTTTTCTTTTAAATTTATTTGGGGGGGAGGGGTGTCTGATTTTCCATTCTTGCTGTTTGAGCTCCTTTCACAATCTCTTCTTGTTCATTGCAAATAACCTGGTCTTTCTTTTTATTTCTGTGAATTGTGATGATGCAGTTTCTTGATGGATGGGTAATATTTGCTGAATATGCACGACCAAAGGTCACACCAGGGCAGTCAGCATCTTCAGAAACTTATCCACCTAAAAGCTAAGGATAAGTAAAACCTATTAGATAACATGAGTCATACCAGTATGCCAAAATTGAGTTGGACTTGTTGGTGTCTGGCATATGAACTTCAAAGTTTCAAATGTTCTTAACCTGCTGCCAATGTCTCTATTTTGAAGGACTACTTCCATTGTTTGATCCCTGCATCTGCTTGCCTTTGTATCTGCCCAATTCATGAGCAACCTGATATCCCTATGAACCATGTTTTGTGGTGGGAAAACCCCTTTTCTTTTTTTGGTTCTTATTTTATGTTGTTACCATAAATGTCTCACATTCCATTACAAATTTACAATTTCTTTCATTTTAATCATTTATTAGATTTTGAATAAAAAGTCATAAGTCTGTAGTTACATTGCCTAATTTCCTAGCTTCTTTTGTCTTGACATGAATTCCAATTGATTGGATAAGAATGTTTGCCATCTCTGATTTCTCCTCGCATTGGGACAACTGCTTGATTCAAGTTATTGAAGAACCGGTCTTGGCACCAATACCTCCATGTCCTATTGGTTTGTCTCTATTGCTTGCACCTGAATTGCAATTGATTCACTACATAATTATTGGGAAATGGCTTGCGGACGTCAATACACTATTTTCATCCAAATGGTACATCAAGATAAAAATGTTGTTTTCTTTTTGAGGTCAAGAGCAGCTAGTTGAAACTAGAGGAAAGTACATGCGAGCACAAACTAATACTAGTACAAACTGTGTAAAAATTGCTATGTAATGTAACCCAATTCTTAAAGAACTTATACGTTAAAAAAATTAATAGACGAGCATAGCTATTTTGGATTGCTGACTCAAGGGATCCTGTGAAACGAACACTAATATATATCTGCGAAAGGAAAGGAACTGCTTTCTTGTGCCCTTTGGAGATGAAGCTTTAATGTATAGTTGTTCAGCTGCACCAAAACAAAGAAACCACAATGTCATTTCTTTTCCCCTGCTAGGCACGGTAGCTAATGCTTGTTTCAAATACAAATATGATGCAAATTTCATGACGAGAGTTTAAATGTTTAGGTGCTCTAGCAAGTATACCTCCAAAGTTCGAACTTGTTCTTGGTATTGGCTGAGCATGAGCTTCAGCTGGTGTACTTCTCGTTCATTTACCTCTTGTTCCAAATTGCGTTGATGCTGTATGGCAACAGCTTTCTTCAAAATTTGATTATTGTTTAACAATCCTTGCAGATTCTGCTTCAAAGAAGCAAGCTCGAGCTACTCCATGGATCAAATAAAAATTTTAATTAGCGAAAAAAAAGTCCCAAAAACTGATACCTTATTGGCACAAAATATAGATAATAAGACCAATGTTATATTACCTCCTTTGCAGCCCTTAAATTAGCAGTTATATTTCTCTCAAATGCCTCTAAAATCCTCGCAGCACGCCCCCTAGCATCATCAAGACTGGGTGCACTCATCATATCATACACAAACAAATCTACCCATTGACGTCCATCAATCACATTCTTATAATAATCAAAGGTCTGATTGATGTTATTCACACCTTGAACCACCTGCTTTGATATTTGACTACCTGGTTGACGGATATTCACAAGGAAACCATTAAAAAGGCAATTGAAATTTCAAACAAATCACAAGACACGAGATATATTTTGAGGAAGAGTTAGTAAGGGAACAAGAGCCTTAACAGTCAACTTACAATTATCCATGCTCCCAGTAGGAACATCCACACAATTTCCAATTATCACAGAATCAGTGCTTGCTGACTTACTTCTTTCCTCAAAATCAGAGGAAAGTGCAGAAAGACTCTCCCTTGCTTCTTCTATCTGATTGTTGTGATCTCTAAGAACTGCTGATATAAACTAAACAGAACAAGAAAGATTAGTAAACAATAAAATTTTAAACAAACACCGAAAAGCTTTCTTCTGCACAACAAATTCAAGAACAAGAATCATTAAGACATACAAATATTCCTCAAGGTAGCAACTTCATTAGCATATTTGACCATTCAGCAGTATAACAATTTATGAAATGGATTTGATTTCGAAATGTCCAATATGAAATGACACAATTTGAAACCAGAAATGATGGAAAAAAGAAATGCAAGAAATTTAATTTTGCCGAATCAGATATGAATTAATGTCCACTAATTCTATACACAACATAACTAAAAGAATCATCAAGTAGAAAACAATTAACCCTTAAAACGTACCTCAGGATCCAAGGCAGGGAACATTTGCAACAAGGCGGAAATGGGTTCCTCAGATCCGGAACCCCATTCCCGCCGCCTGTCTGGAGATCCAGCACAACTTGCACATCTGGATCTCTTTGGAGAAGATCCGAATAATTCTTCATACCCAACTCGCTTCCCACAAACCCCAGCAGACATGGCTACCTAAAAACCAACTGTGTTATATTATATTAATCTCAAAAAAATCCCAAAATTTAACTCCAAGATTCCAACTTTGCTCTGTAAAGGGAACATCCAAATAATGGGTTTTAATTCAAATTAGTATTTCTTCAAAATTATCATGTTTTAGTGTTGATTATTGGACTGAATTGATGAGTTTGGATTGTGGTGAAGGGTAGGGTTTGATGGGGAAGAGAAAGGAGGAGAAAGTGGGGTCTGTTTGGTTTGTCGAGTTAATGGGAATCTGAAGACTTTCAACCATTGAAGCTTACAGTGATGGTACATGGAAGAAAAAGAAGGGAGAAAAGAGTCGCCTCATCCATTAACAAATGAGGAACGCGGGGACCGAGTATGGGGTATACAGCCGATCTGAAGACGATCGGTTTTAAATGTGATGGTGTAGTTTGGCTTAACCTGTCTTTAACAACAAGGGCCAACCAAAGAAAATAGTTTTTTTTCTTAAATTTTTTTTTTTTTCTAAACTTTATGAGATTGGGTGCATTTATTATTTTTTTATAATTAATTTGTATAAAAAGTATATTTTAATTTGCACTTGTCCTTTCAGATCAACTGACAGTCTATCAACTTGATGCATTCTCTTTCCGAAACTCGTTCTTGACAATTTGTTCAAAAAACAAAAAAAAAGTACATTTTAATTTTAATTTTATTAATTATTTAATTAAAATATTTAATGTAATATTAATATTAAAAATAAAAATTTATTTTTATATTATGAGTAATTTTAAAAGAGGGCATCGTTGTACTTTTATGATGTTATAATTGTTTTTTCTTTATATTTGCCACACCACCACTAACGCGTGACATGCGGCCATTTTAATTTTTATATCAACATTAAAAATTATAAGAAATTAAATACTTCATAGGAAAACAATGACATATTATCACTTAATTGATAGATGAATCAAAATATGATAGAAAAATAAAATTTAAAGAACAAAAAAAAACTTTTCAAAATTGAGAGATAAAAATAACTTTTAGCAAAGTACATGAACCAAATGTGGGTGTTTAACCTTTCCTTTTGTCAATCTCCTCTGTTCTCCACTTCTCTTTCATCTGCTTGTAGTTTTTCTCTGTTATTTTCAAATTTAGTTCTTTATTTCCTTTAGTTTTCCTCTGTTTTTCTTTTATTTCCTTTTGTTTCAACAAATCGAGGTATGAAGGTGGACGAAGAAGAAGAAGAAGGAAAACAAGGGGCCTTTCATGTTTTGATCGTCAAACCCCAATAGAACACTTATGTAATACTATAAATGAACTATATTATATGGTTTGAATTACATTAAATTATAAAATAGAAATCATTAAATAAGGAGCAGTACCTTGATATCAACTAACTTAATACTTATTCAATTATTAATATTATGTAATTTAATACAATCTGTATTATACAAAACTTTTTACATGTTATAAATATTTTTTTTTGAACAAATTAAAATTACAACACATTTAATTAAAGAGGATTGGGGAAAAAGATTCTATGAGGTTCAAATATGAAATCCAAATAGGTGATTTGCAGTAACTTAGGGTCAAAACCATTAAGTTCGGAGTGTGGGAATCACATGCTCACATGCTATAAATTTTCTTTGGTTGATTAAAATTAGAATATTGGTTTACATACGAATAGAAGTCATCAACTTGTGGCTGTAGTTTAGTGGTAAGAATTCCACGTTGTGGCCGTGGAGACCTGGGCTCGAATCCCAGCAGCCACATATCGGAAACATTTTTCCATATTATATTTGGCTTCTAATCCACCCTAACTGTATTCCATAAATTACAAACTGCCAAAACGACGACGTTAGAAAGCTATCAATCCCATTTTATCTCCTCTCTCAAGGTCCCAGTCAATTACGTCGTCGTCTACGGAGTCCAGATCTTCCTATCACACTGTTCTTCGTCGGGCGATCGGTCTCTCTCTCACCCTCACAATTCGCCACCGTAAGATCTTCAATTTTCTTTCCTCTAAGCAATTTTTCCTAAATTCGTTATCATTTCCGCTTCCAGGGTTTGTAGTTTTGAACTAAATTAAAGCTGTATACCTTGATCCATGAATCTCTGACTAGATTTGTCTACTGTGAGTGTAGGATTTAACACAAAATTTAGATCGACTTTGTTCTTATTTACATTTGGTTATCCTCCACTCACTGTGCTTCATTTTGATCTTATATTCATCC